ATCCTTATGTATCTGAAAATATGTCATTATTTTGTATTCTCTCTGAAATGATAGTTTAGTTGGGTAGAGAATTTTGAGTTAAAAGCAATTCCCTTAGAATACTTTGTTCCATTTTCTACTAGCGTCCATTGTTGCTGATGAGAAGTAGGTGATCTGGTGAGAATTTCCTTTGTATCCTTGATGCTCTGAAATTCCTTCATGATGTGTTCAGGTGTGATGCTTTTTACTTATACACTAAACAAGAGCTTTTCACCTGAAGATATTGGAACATTTTGTCTCATGTCTTTGAGTATTTCCTTCCATCCATTCTCTAGCTCTCTTGTTAGAGAAATGTTGAAACTTCTGGATTTATTCTCCATATTACTTAAATGTTTGCTCATTGCTTTATCCTTTCTCCTGCAATCTAGGAGAAAACTGAGCCCAATCTTCTAGCTTACTAATTTACCCTTCAGTTCAGCCTAAGTCAGTATAGCATGGTGAGTAAGAGCCTGAGTTCAAATTCTGGTTCAACCATTTATTACTGTGTTGCCTTCAGTAAGTTAATTAACCTTTCTATTTTTCGGTTTACTCATCCGTAAAATGAATATTCTAATAATATTGCCTTTTTTGTAAGATTATAAAGATTAAATATGTTAATACATGAATGCTTGTAAGAGTATCTGCAGCACAATATTAGTTATTACTGTCCAACTCATTAAAGAATTTCAATAAATAAATTCTTAATTAGTCCTCTAACTAGTTTGTTTTCATAATAATCTGGTTGTTTTATGAATGTAAGATTCTGTATTATACATCTGAGGGTAAAAAATATATATATAATAAAATCTATTTTTGCTCCATTAAAAATAACTTGGAGCTTTCAATTTGTTTATTGACTGAAATCAGTTTCTGTCTTGGACTTCCCTGGCGGCACAGTGGTTAAGAATCTGCCTGCCAATGCAGGGGACACGGGTTCGATCCCTGGTCCAGGAAGATCCCACGTCACGGACCAACTAAGCCTGTGCGCCACAACTACTGAGCCCAGTGCCATAACTACTGAAGCCCACGAGCCTACAGCCCATGCTCCACAACAAGAGAAGCCACCACAATGAGAAGCTCACGCACCCCAACGAAGAGCAGCCCTCGCTCGCCACAACTAGAGAAAGCCTGTGTGCAGCAATGAAGATCCCACACAGCCAAAAATAAATAAATTAAAAAAAAAAAAAAGGGCTTCCCTGGTGGCGCAGTGTTTGAGAGTCCGTCTGCCGATGCAGGGGACACGGGTTCGTGCCCCTGTCTGGGAAGATCCCACATGCCATGGAGTGGCTGGGCCCGTGAGGTATGGCCGCTGAGCCTGCGCATCTGGAGCCTGTGCTCCGCAGAGGGAGAGGCCACAACAGTGAGAGGCCCAAGTACCGCAAAAAAAAAAAAAAAAGAAAGAAAGAAAGAAATAAGTGCCTGTCTTTCATGGTAATAGATTTCCACGAATGATCGGTGATTGGTATACTCAGTGTTTGGAAATCTCACTTGCCTATCTGTGGTACCACTTCTAAGTCTGAGTGCTTGCTTTGCTGATTGCAGTAGGAAGAGGGGCAGGACAGGGCATGGTGGAGGTCGGGCGATGTATATGTATATAAGTATACTTATGTATATAAGTATACTATATACTTATAGTATGTATATGTATATATACATACTATAAGTATGTATAGTTTACCTTCAGCATGTGTGTGTGTGTGGTCTCATTTCTCCTGGAAATTGGTGGTAGTCCCTTGGGGTGATACCTTGTTTCCTTGGCCCAAGCACCCATTAGTAACAATCCAGACTGAATGATTCCAAACATTTAGCAATATTTGCTTAAGATCTCTTTTTTAAAATAAATTTATTTTATTTTTGGCTGTGTTGGGTCTTTTTTGCTGCACGCGGGCTTTCTCTAGTTGCGGCGAGCATGGGCTACTCTTCTTTGTGGTGCACGGGCTTCTCATTGCGGTGACTGCTCTTGTTGCGGAGCACAGGCTCTAGGCCCACGGGCTTCAGTAGTTGTGGCATGCAGATTTAATAGTTGTGGCTCACGGGCTCTAGAGCGCAGGCTCAGTAGTTGTGGTACACGGGCTTAGTTGCTCCGCGGCATGTGGGATCTTCCCGGACCAGGGCTCGAACCCGTGTCCCCTGCACTGGCAGGTGTATTCTTAACCACTGTGCCACCAGGGAGGCCCTAAGATCTTTTAAAAAAAATTAAATTAGATACCATTGTTGGAGCCTCCTTTGTAGTTTCCCATCCTCTTTCTCTTCTTCCCTTCTCACTGCCCCGAAGTTCATGCTTCTGTATCCTTCCTATGTCCATGCTTTTTATAGTTACCTACATATTTAGACAGACATAAACAGCGTATCATATTGTTTTGCAGGCTTTCAAACTGCACATAAATGATAACAATTCTTTCAACCCTTCAGATTACACCAGGAAGAAAATCTCATTTTGGTCAAGTTTTGAATGCCTTTTCTGGCATTTGTTAATCTCTCTTTTAACAAATTAAAAACTCAGGATAGGTAGTTACTTAGAATTTAATAATATTGTTTTATTTTCCATTGTATTTATTGTAATGATTTCCTTCTATTTTTTAGCAGGTGTTGCTAGCTTTCCATCCACAGTAGTGACTTATGTTTCCTTTTAAGTTAAATATGAGAAAAAAAGAAAAGTGTTGATTTAAAGAAAAATGTTAAGTAAATAACAACTGTCCAGGAGGTTTACAGATATGGCAAAACATTAGGAGTTTTTACAGAGATGGCTGAAATTTGATATACACTCGACCTAAAAAATAAAGTTCAAGTTCCTTAAATGGGTATGCAAAGCTCTACCTGATCTGACCTCTGCTTTCCTCCTCAGCCCAGTCAGCACAATTACTTCACCTCCAGCACAAACTGCCTGGAGTTTCCTCCTTCCCTTACCAGCTGGAGGGACCTTGGCTATTGTAATCTCTCCTTTTATGGTATTTCCTGCAACCAGCATCCCTGCCTCCACCTGACTCTCTTATCATCCTCTCAGGCTCCTAGGAAGCCCTCCCCCACTTAGTACACAGCGCTGTACCGAATATACGGTTTTCTAATCGGATTCTAAACCCAAGGGTAGAATTTAGTGCCAGTAGCATGACACCCTTACGTCCTAAACAGCTGATTAACGCTAAAAGAAATGACCTATTTGTGATGTTTCAAATAAAATTGGGGGTATAAAATGAAGGTTCCCCTTGAAAAAAATGTTTACCTCATTTTTCATATGTTTGGAGTTTTAAAAATAGTTCTGTTCATAGATATCAATACCTGATCTTAATTATTTTCTTTCAATACTGAGACAATACATTAACTTGTCATCTAGATTAAGGGTAAAAAAGGCAGAGAAAGGAAAAATAAGGACGATGAGAAATGATAAGTTTTTACGTCATTTCGACATTACTTGTGGCTTAGTTACTACCTCGAGCTGGATGATTTTATTAGTAAATGTGAGATCAAATCAAATGTTTTGAATATGACACATTTAAACGTTTGACGTTTTAATGGCAAAAGCTCCTAAACTGTTATGGCCACTGAGATGTTGGAACAATTTTCAAGTTTCATGATGCACGATACATATAAATAAATGGAATATTATTAACAAAAACAGCAGACCGCATACCGAATGCTGTTTGAAAGTCCCCTAACGTCTGCAGTCCTGAAGAACTAACTACATTGGGTTCTGTTCATTCATTCAAAAGCATTGTTCTGAAGCTGATATTCGTACCACACGACTAAAAAACCCTCAGGACACTTGGCCAGAAGAAAATTCTCATCCTAACAGAGGTGCAGATAATGCTTTCGAAGCTACTGCTGTATTGCGAGAAAAGTTCAATTTTAGCGTTTCATCCTATGTATTTCGCGTGGCCAAGGCCGGACAGGAAGGGCTGTGCGAGGAGGCTGGGGGAAGTGACTTGACACTCCAGATTACAGAATGTCAGGTTTACCACTGTAAACGTACAGCCTATAAATGAGAATACGGGTGGAGTGAAATCGCTCTCACGCCGTACATCTTCTGGGTTGCATCTTATCCGCCAGCCAAACTTTCTCTATCAATCTGGGTAGGTCAGCAGCAGAAACACTGCCGGAAAGGACGATGCAGTGTCCTGAGGCGGCGTGTGCTGCCTTATCCAGTATTGCCTTCCGAATTACCTGAAGCATTCAAGCCATTGCACCCAGAGAACAATCCTCGTTTCAGTTCGGTCGTTTCCGTGGGGGAATTGCGGTACGGGTAGGTCTTGGGTGTGGCGAGGCCAAGAGGGAGCTCAGAGCTCCCAGCTTTCCCGCTTTTCGCAAACCTTCCCAGCCCGGAGGCGGCGAGTGACCGGCCCTCGATAACTGCCAGGCGGGGTCCCGGGGGCCGCAGGAGGACCCGACCCAGCGGCAGCTGCAAATTGCCGAAGCGGGGATCTGGGCGCCCGGTGCGAGTGCGCTTCTCCCCCATTCGTTCCGCGGCTGGAGGCGGACCCCCTTCCTTGCACACAAGTCCTTATATGCACCGGTTGCAGCAGCCCGCGCTACTCCAGCCCCACAAATAATTAATGGGGGAGGGAGGGCGTCGCTCTTTTTCTTTTTCCCTCCGGATTTTTTTTCAACGTTGGAGCATTTGAACCCTGCCGAAAACCCCTCAAAATGCGACTGAAGGGCCATTTTGCTGCAGCGCAAGAATTGGACACACAAAAATAAAGTCCCCTTGTCCCTACGATAAGCACGGCAGGGTTCAGGAACAGCTCTTTAGATCCAGCCCGATTAGCCCGCAAAACCTGGGCTGAAAGGTTGCGCGCCCTCCCCCACCCACGTTGGTGCAGAGGGACCGGGTCAGGAAGCGCGGCCTCTCCCCAGTAGGAGACCACGCCTCCTCCGCCTCTTCCCCCCCCCCCCCCTTTCCCCCTCCCAGGAAGCGGTGATAGACAGTTCTGTGTGGTTCTCCACCCCCACCCCCCCAGCTGAGTGGAGGAGTTGATGTGTCTCATTATAACAGCCAATGCAGCCGCCATCCACGCACAAGCAAAGAAGCATGTCCCATTTAAATACACCCACGCAGCCCCAGCGCCCTTAGCTGCTCAGGGCGCACAGCCCACACGCACCGCGACTCCGGGCTTGGAGATCCGCGCAGGCTGGGCTCCCGGAGCCGGCGGACTGACGCGCTGAGGATCGCGATCAGGCGCTGTGGGGCCGGGGTGGGCGGGGGAGGCTGGGCCCCGGGCCTCTGGCGCGACACCCGCATGAGGACGCGAGTGAAATAGACCGAGGTGGAATTTTCAACGGGGAATCTTCGGGGTGGTTTTGGTCCATTTCTCCCGCGAAGAAGTCGACATGGCGAGCGACTCTCCGGCTCGCAGCCTGGATGAAATCGATCTCTCGGCTTTGAGGGTGAGTGGAACATGTTTTCTGATTTCTTTCCAGTGTTTTGGGTCAGGGTGAATGGGCTTGGTGCGTGGAACTGGGGCTCGGCTGGTAGGCAGAGGCGGGCGAATGCGACGCGAGGGAACCTGGATTCTCGTTTAGATTCGGGGGTTGCTGAGGTGCTCTTGGCTAAGCACCCACAGCAGGGGCTGTGCGGTACGTGTCCTCCTTTGGTGGCAGCCAAAGCTCCCCTGAGAACTCGTGGAGCTTATGCCAGTTTCATCGTAGACCGGTGTAAGAGCATTAAAATGAAAGGCTCGTGTGTGTGTGCGTGCGTGTGTATGTACACAAGCCCCGGGCAGTCGTCTAGTGCCAAGGCTCTAGACCCCACTGTCCCTTTCTGCAAAAAGAATAACAACAGCGCGAATAAAGGCACTGGTCCCTCACGTTTTCCAGCTACCTGCTAGATGACATTGTGAGCCTGGCTGTCCCCGCGACGCCGAACCTGCCGCTCCAAGGGGGCAGTTATTGCTATGCTGGTCTTGTAGCTGGCAACTGCCTCCCCTTCCCCCCCTTTTCTGCCGTCGGCGCCCCGACTCCCTCTCAGCGCTCTCTTAAACGCAGGTCTGCCGCTCACCTTTATTTATCGTTTTAACTCAGCCCTGCCTGTGCTTTCTGACTTTGTGGCTGTGACATTTCAGTTTTATGGCTGAACTTAAGCAGGTGAAAGGGATGTGTTCTCTGCTTTTCCCCAATCAGACCGGAACTCCTGGGAGTGTGAGTGTGTGTGTGTGTGTGTGTGTGTGTGTGTGTGTGTGTTCTCTGTGTCTGTGGCTAGTCCTTTGTAAAGCACCTACCTCCACCCCGCTCCAGACCCCCTGGTTTGCATTTACCCTCACGTGAATTGCCTCAGACGCCGTTTCATTGTATTGACTAAGACATCACTGATATAGAATCCATTTTGCTGTTGTTTTGAGATCGGAATACCAGGAATCCTAGTGCAGCCTCGACGCCTCCCCACCCCCCAAGCCCAACACACTCCTTCGGGGAAGGGGGCAGAGCTTTCTTGAGATGTTAATTAGATGCTGCCTGCCTGGAAGGGGGGGAGGGGTGTGGGTGGCAGCAGCAGCGGGGGTCTGAGAAGGATTGGGGCTAGCACGGCTTTTTCCTCTCTTGAACTAAAAATAAATTTTTTAAAAAAAGCGATTGTATATACATGAGGCAGGGAGGGTCGGTGAGACCGAACTGATGGTGGCTATCAACACAGAGACAGGCAGGATAGGTGAAGCTTGGAAGTTCCCACGCCCTCCTGAAGAATACATTGTTAGATGCTAAATCTTGGGGTTGTATACCTGAATCTTCAGTACTTGCCTTGACATTGCCTTCTTCACTGTTATTTTAAAGAACTACCTTTATGGTCAAAGTGGTACTTTTTCTTTAGTCTCGTTAATCCTCTCTCTCCTGACCTACCCTCCTCTTTTCAACTCCCCCTCCCCTTCTCCTTAATCCTTCCATCTCAGAGGTGAGGTTTCTGGGAGGCAGCCAAGGGGCTGAGAAGGAGCAGAGATGCCATTTGAAATGGCTTTTTTTGATAGTTGGGTAGCAAAAGCTCATTCATGCGTTATTACAGTAAGCTATTTCCCTGGCGCCGAAAGGCCACATTCAGAACCCGCTGCCCCCTGGGCAGCTGGGGGTGGAGGTTGGTAACGGGGTGGGTGCTTTGGCCAAGTCTGTGGCTTCCTGCTTTACTGACTGTGTGTGTTCATTTGCCCTACTTTCTGCGCTGGGAGTTTCTGCCAGCGGGTTAATCAGGTGGATGGATGGCCCAGACTTCAGGGTAGAGAAAAAGTGGCAAAGCTGGGGAGGAGGACGGGGCGGGGGGATGGGAGTCTGAACAATGGGCAAGTCTTGCGATTTCCCTGAGCCGGAATCTCAACGTTGCTTCTCTAATGGATAGCGCTCTTATACGATTGTAGTTGGGCTTGGTCTGGAGGTGTCCCTTGTGGGCTTTTTCCTGGGGAAGGTTTTCAGAGATACCCAGAGCTTGCAAGCTTATGAGCAACCACAAGGGCTCCTCGGCCGACCTGGAGTTCAATTCACACCTGGGAGATCTGCGCTTGGGAGATCAGTATTTTGAAAAGATATCTTTGCACAATTCACTGAAATTGCTCTTTGTGGCTTGGGTTTTAGTGCTTTGCCACTGTATTTCTGCCTGCAGGAGGTGTGGAAAGAGGGAGGGATACAGCTTCCAGCTAGCCCAGGAGATGGGGAACTGCTAGCAGGAGGACTTAAATGCAGATGTGGGGACAATTGCCTCCCAGAGGTCAGGGGTCTGCGACCAGTCTTGTGGTGGGTGAGTTGTGCAGGCCTGGAGCTGAGTCCAAAGGCCACAGAGGTCATCTCCACAAATCAGAGGGCAGATGATCTTTTTCTTTTTTCTCAGATTAAGAGAGATGGGCTCATGTAGATGAGAGGTCTCATTTGTTCCTAAATCCTCAGGAAAGCCTGCCTGCTGAGAACTTCCTGGGGAATGCCTGACCCCTGAAATGCAGCCAAGGTCAGTGGCATCTAGGAGAATTTACTGCAGCCTTACCAGTCCCTTGCTGTTTTGGTGGCTCTTTACACAATCAATGCCCTTTTTGTAAACTCTGTGCTCAATGCGTTAAAAGCAGATCCTGTCTGGAGAGGCCTTTATCCTTTCTCACTTTGGGGGCTTATTGTTCTCAGCCAGTGATCCCAGACTGGACCCAGTCTAAATTTTCCCCAAATAGCAACAATGCATAATTTAAACCAGAGCAACCAGGGAAGCACTGATCACTTAAATTATGCAAGATTTGGATGGTTTTAAAAAGTAAGAAAAGAGAGGATGGTTAGAAAAGAGGTGATCTGAATCCAGTTTTATTAGTCCTGGTTTTTAGAGCTGTGGAGAACTAAGTCTTGAGGGAGAGGAATGATTTCATAGATTTAGAGCTGGAAGAGAATTGTTGAACACTTAGCCACTCCTTTCATTTAATACCTGGGAAGCTGTAGCCCAGAGAGGTCAAGTGTATTGCCCAAGGTCACACAGCCCTCTCCCTGCTTGGAGGTGGGGTGAGTAGGGGAGGGGAGAAGGGTGGTTTGGGGAGAGGATATAGGTTTCCTGACTTCTCATTCAGTGCTCTAAGTCACATTGTCTGTGGCTGAATCAGATATCAGTAATACATTTTCTGCCTGAGCACAAAAAAAATGGCCGAGAGGAATTATTTCACCAGGGTCATGGCATTTTATTTATCAAAAATAGAGAAACTGCTTCATGCAGGTAAGCTCATAAAACATTAAACCATGGAGCTTTAAAGTATCTTTGGAATTCATCTTGTCCAACCCCTTCAATTCCTCCTCTGCAGGCAAATGACTGTCTGAATCATCTAGGACAGATGGTTGTCCTGCATGGTAACCTCTCTCTCCGTAACCCTCTTCCATCTAAACATATCTCAAGGGGTTGGTCTAGACATACACATTATTCAGATGTCTCTGCATGCAAGGTTTATAGAGTTCTATGTATGTTTTCTATAATCTATGTGGATACTTATATTCTACATAGTTTTACGGATATAAACTATCCATGTGGGTGTATGAAATGTGTGTGTACATACATAGGCTATAGAAAACAATCTACTCATTCAGATGCAGGGCTTGAGTCATTCTTCCTTCAAGATATGACAGTATTAAAAGAAATGAAATGTGCCACCAGTATGCTTTATTGCATAGGAGGTGAGGTCAGCCCAGAAAGCTTTTTGGAGATTAGCATACATCTGAATCTGAGCACCGTGGCTGGGCCCACAGAGTAAGGCAATCAAGGCCAAGATTGGCCGCTGCTGACTTCATACTCTTAAGTTTCTGCCAGGACTCACACTCACTTTTCTATTTGAACAGAATTGGATGACCTCTGCTTGTCTTTCTCCCTCTACCCCTCACTCCCTGCTGGGCCTAGATATTTTTCTTCTCCATTGAAACCTAGGTTTAAGAGTTGACCTCATCTGGAAGACTTGCATGTATTCTTCCTGCTATGCTTTTTACGTTTGTATTGTAAATGGTATGGGGTTTTCTTTCTACTTGCTCACTAAACTGTGGGCTCCTTGGGGCCAGAGGCTAGGTCTCGTTCATCTCTGAGTCCATAGTCCCAGTTAGTTGAATAAATGAATGAGTTAATGGAGTGGACTGAGCACTGGGTTCTGTGTCCATGTCTTATTAATCCTGTGACTTTGGATCAGTCCTTTGTCCGTAATTAACTCAAAAATGGGAATGATCACAACTGCTTGCCTTCCTCATACACAGGTTTCAAAAATCAATAAGTATTTATGGCAGTGCTTTGAAAACTGTAAAGCACTACACAGATATGCTATTCCATGATTAAATAGAATTTTATGGGGAACTTGATTCCACCAACATTTGATCCCAATGATTGTGTGTAACAGAAAATGATCCTGAGAAAAAGATATCAGAAGGTCGTGCATCTTTTTAATAGTACTTTTTCCTTTGAATGTATCAGTATGGCCTTATGTTGACCTTTCATGGTCTCTGTCTGACCCTCTGATGGCCTGGGTTGACCTTTGCTCGAGGTGAGTTCAGCCCAGAAACTTTTTGGAGATTAGCATATTTCTAAACCAGTATCAAGTATCAGCATTATTCATTAAAAACTTTTTCTTTTCTTTTTTTAATGACTTTTTCTCCTCTTTATGGATTAACCATTATGCAAATAAAAACACATATATTGTGCCTGTGCCTTTTCAAAGTTTGTGTGTGTGTGAGGTGGGACAGGGAGTGGATGCCTGAAATGATACACTACTAGTCCAGTATTTAAAACCTTCTGGTCAGAGGTCTCATGGGCTTCAAGAAATCTTGCAACATTAGTAATTCATTACCCCAGAGCAATTAATTAAATTTGGTCTTAAATGAGAATTTAGTAACGTTGCATGAATTGCTAAGATAACGGTATCTTAAAATGATAATAGCACAAGTTTTTTAATTAGATATATGTGCTGTTTTTT